GACGAGAGGGCGAGCGCTCCTCCTGTACTCATTAAAACCACACTGCAGGTTTCTCTTTAGGGTGGGTTTGTTTAAATGTCCAGCCGCTGGGACCAGCCCTTGGCTGGTGGTGTCAGCAAATGGAGCTGTAGAGGAACTGCCAGCTCATGTAGATGGAGGGGATCTTAACCTGGCAGTCACCGCAAATTTCACGGGACCGCGCTTTTGACTGCTGAAGGCAGCGGAGAGTTGAGGAACCAACAGCCACGTCAGCTCTGGGAGACCTCTTCTTTCATCACCGCAACCTGAGTTGGCTTCGTGTCTTTCGCTGTGTCTTCTTCTTCCAAGATGACCCCATTGTGTCCCTGAAGAGGCTGTTCCCACTGCTCCACGTTGCCTTAGCCTCCTCTGGTGTCTTCTGCTTGGTCTTCAGCTTCCACCCCAGAAGTCCTGGCTGGCACCTAACTGGGGATGAGCACAGAAACATGCAGTGGCACCCAAAGTGAGACACGAGGATGAGAAACAGTGGGGAATGCTGTACCACTGCAGCCTACATCCCCTTGCGAGTGGATATATCCCATGCTGGGAGTCTGGCCGGGACAGTCCCTCGCTTCCCACGTCTCCCCAGCTTGAGGACACTTGACCACAGTAGGATCAGTTGCCCTTTCTAGAAGAAAGGTAGAGCATGGAGGTTTGAGCATCCTTTTCTGTTGTCTCTGCTGAGCCACAGTCTCCTGCTAAGCTGCTGCCATCACCCCCATCATGTTTGATTGCCTTCGTGATATTGTTCTGCCTGTGTCACCCGTGCATCTCTGATCTGGAGGGTTTGGAAGGGGTGGAGAGCAAAGAGTTGCTAAGCTGAAGCATTTTGGGATGGCCTTGCAGAAGAGAGGTGGCTGTGTGCTCGGCTTCTGTGCTGAGTTGGCTTCTCAGGTCCCTTTGGAAAAATACTCCCAGGAAAATGGAGTAACTGTCGGAGGGGATAGTGGTGTGGAGGTCCAGGAGGAGCCTGGTACCCACCTGTGTGGATTTCTTAAGTGCCTTCAGAGCCCTGGGCCATTCCCAGCGTGCAGTTCATTTCAAAGGCATATGCCAGCACCACGTCTGGCAAGGGCTGTTTCTCCTGCCCCATGCCCTCCACCCTGATTGTAGGTCGGGCTGCATGGCTGCCCCAGCACACGGGGACACCAGGCACAGGTACCGTGGTGTGGGGACACGGACACGTGTGGGGTGCTGGTTGCCCATCTCATGTGAACGTGGAGCTGGCTGCTCTGCAGGTGCTCCTCGAAGATGCCCAGGTTGGTGGGACACACCTTGGAGCATCTGAGAGCTTTGGTGACTCGATGCAGTTTCCATTCCATGTCACTGAATTACAGGGCAGGTAAGGAGTCGGGGAGCTATTTTTGGCTTTGTCTTCTCACCTGATTCTCCGAGGCCAGTCCTGCCACCAACTCCCCATGTCCTGCCCTGCAGCCACACCAAGCCAGCCCGAGACTGGGACTTGGACGATGACCTCTGCGCACCGTGGCTGTGATACCTTCCTCAAGAGGGAAAAGGAGCAAGTATGTGAACTGGGAGCAATTTCCCAGCTTGTGGAATTGGGTCTTCATGACCCTGGTGGCTCTGCGGTCCCCAGCTGCTCTTGGGTGACGATGCCCCTGCTACAGCCGTGCTCCTCCGTTCCCCTCCGTGGTCAGCCAGGCAGCGTTTTGCAGCGGTGCAAGCAGGGACAAGGCGCGTGGCTTGGCTTTGTTTTTAAAATGCATCCATGTATCTATCTATATATATTTGCATGTGTGTATATTTATGTATTTATATATAAAAATGCATTTTGAGACAGGGGGGGACCTCAGCGAGGGCCGAGCACCCTCTAGCGGCATTTGCCACGGCTCCCGGGGCTGCCAAGCCAGCAGGAAAGCGGCCAAGGACAGAAAGTCTTGCATGAATTTTCCTCCCCCCGGCTGCCAGTTGCTATCTTTCTTTTTGTTCTTCCTTATTATTTTTTTTCCCCCTCTCTCTTTAATCAGGAGCAGCAAATGGCAGGTCCTGGGGATGCCAGGGCACAGGCGGGAGCATACCACCAGCCCCTCAGGTACGGCTT